TTCCGTTTTTTCCTCAGACCGTAAGAAAAAGTCTGAAAATAAGCTTTTTTTGTCACCTTCCAGACCGACAATGATTGTTTTCTACTTTGGGCTGCTTTAGATCGCAGATTAAATGTAAAATAATAGCAAATATAGGAAATAGTATGATGAGTTTCCAAAAGAGATTTTATTCTCAAGAAACGGGAGCAATACAGTTTGTCTGAGTGGAGTTGCCATATGATGATGTGATAAAAAGGGGCGGGGCCCCGAGCAGATCTGGTACCTAAAGCGGCTCCATCTGCATGTTTTCTAAACAAAAACAAGGCTTTGCTTTGGTCCGCTCTATAAAACCTGGAACTATTTCTGACATTTTGAATTTAAAAAGCTTCCTGGATGGAAGAGAAACGTCTTCAAATTTGGAAACGAAGTCCACTGGATTGTGTTTTATTTACTTTTTGGGAAGTTTAATTAAATGAATCTTAAATAGTTTTTTACAGAATTACAATTTAAAAAGAAAAGCAATCTGAAATCAGACAGAAAAGGGGAAGAAAATTTGAAAAAATTAAATCTGTAAAAAGAAACAAAAAAAAAAAAAACTTCAAAGGAAAGTGAAAATAAAACCTTACAAAACAGCTTTTTTTTTAACCTGGCGTTCTATTTCTGTACTGCGTTTTTGTTTCCAAATGTCCATTAATGAAATCGTTTTCTTTGCTATAGAAATAACGGACCAAAATTCCCTCCATACATTTTCCGCTGCCTTCTGATCTGTCGGCCGAATTAAAACCTTCCTGTTCTGCAGGATCTGCGCTCCGGTGAGGATCTGCAAACAGAGAACGGCTCTCAGAGGAGGACGGTCCAACCTGTAGACAAACCAGAACATCTGCGCTCAGCGGTGAGCAGCTAGGCCTCACGTCACGCATCCGATGCCTTTTAATCTATTATGCTGTTACACCTTCCCACCAGCAGGGGGCCTGAATCGATCCTATCTGCTGTACTTTGCTGGTTTTATTTTGCAGAAACCTCTGAGGAGGATCGAAATCGAGGAGATCAGCGGGACGCTGACGGCGGCCGAAGCCGGAGCCGCCGCTCCATCGCTGCAGGAGGCCGAGAGGAAGACGGAGGACGGACCCTCCCCTCTGTCCACGTCACCCAGCGCCAAGATGATCAAGATCGAGGAGATATCAGAAACCGCGTCGGAGACGCCCCAACGGTAGTTTCAACAAAACCGTTAAAATGCGATAAATACCTTAACTTTACTTTGCTTGAATCCGTGTCCATTTTTAGCAAACAGCAGCCAGAGGTGAGCGATTCTAGCCGTGGGGTGATCAGGTCATTGGTTCAGATTACCGTATTTTCTGTACTATAAGGCGCACCGTCAATGAATGGCAAGTTGTTTCAGATATAAAGCGTATAGAATAGAAGCTACAGTAGCGGCTAACGTTGCATTTTGCATCCGCTTGATGCAGCTGCGCTAAAAAGAATGTCAATAAAACAGAGAAGTCAAAGTTTATCAATATATTATTTGTAATATGATCGACCTCCTTCAGCGCTGGCTTTTCAAAATAAAATACAATTAAACATTTCATGATTAGATTCATTTTAAACTCTGATTATGGTTAGAAAACGTGGAAATTTACATTTGTTTTGAAGGTGTGGAGCTTAAACCCTGCAGTGGTTTGGTAAATAAAACAATCACCTAAACATGGGAGGGAAAGGATCTGAAAAGTGCGGCTTGCCTTTTGATATTTTAGGTTTTCTCAGGTGGTTTAGAAGAGCAGCTAGCGGACACTCGTCCTTCCAGCTTCTGGCTGTGAGCTGATGGTTTCCCTCCCTTCGTCTAACCGGTTTATTCTGGTTCCTGTAGCGTCTCCGGCCGTAAAGCTCGGGAGGAAACCGTCCGACCCCCAGAAGCGCCGCCTGAAACCCCCCCCACAGTGACGGATGTTCCTCCCGCACCCGCCAACAGCTTCCAGCTGGAGTCAGACCTCCGAAAGATCAGGAACCAGCCGGAGTGCGTTTATAGATACCTGAGGGTGAGCTTTACCTTCATCAGCTTCACTCCTCGCCTGGCTATGGAGTCAGCTTTGCTCCATTATTATTGCAAAGAACAAATTTGAAGAAAAAAAAAAAATGGAGTCCAGAAATGAAACTTTGAAGCACATTTTAATCAAAAAAATGTTCTGAGAGTAACTTTCCTAAAGTTTACATTTCATTTGTTTGTTTAAATTTTTTAGTCTAAGTTTTTAAATGTATTTTTTTTCTGTTTTTAGAAGTAATTTGTTTATTTTTTTTTCAAACTGGGTTTTCCAGATCCCATTTTTTCTCTTCTTAGGCCAAGTTTTTATTATTTAAACATTTTTTTAAAAGTTTTTAAAATTTCATTTCTGGATTGCATTTTTTTCCCTCCAAAATGTGTTCTTTGCATTAATAATGGAACAGAATTCTCCCCATACCGGTCAGGCTTACCTCTAACTTCTTCATCCTTGTCTGCAGCAAATCAGTCCGCCGTCTTACGCCCAAATCTTCCAGAATTCGCTGGAACCAAACATCCTCAACCAGATCCTGACCACCCTGCGGGATTTCTTCATAAAGTAAGCAATGAGGGAGGAGCTAACATCTGCACTGAACTGGTTTGAACTGGTTTAACAGCGTGACCTTCACCGCAGGAATGAACCGCCGGCCTCCATCCTGGAGACCCTCAGCAGCCTCGCCAGCGTGAGGCGCTTCGACATGGCCGTCATGTTCATGTCGTCTCAGGAGAAGAAAGGTGCCGATTGTTTCTGGTTCTTCGCTTCCCGCTTCGATCCTCCTAAACCATCTGCTGTGTTTCTGCTTTTCTCGCCGCTAACAGTGCTGAAGGAGCTGTTCGACTTCCTCCTCCAAGCCGGGTTGGATCCGTCATCCGTCGCAGTCCTGCAGAAGAAGTACGGCGTATGATGGAGGGACGGCGAAAAGAAAAGCTGCGTTCGGCGTCTTTGGTTCCACCGAGTTTAGGAAAGATATCGGACTTCCCAGCTTATTTCTCATTTTTTAGATCCTACAGTGATGCTGCTTTAAATATCCACTTGTTTTTCAACCTGCCAATTAAACCAAACTGACTAAATTATCGCTTTGAGATCTGTATTCTTGTTTTTGTTTGTTTATTCTTTGTATTTTTTAAGATGGATTATAGTAGTTAATATAAAAAAGCTGATTCATTACATCATATTACAAACTGAATTAGATCAGTGCTGTAGTTTCAAGTTTCAGCCACCAGATGGAGCCAAATGCCTTGTATTTAAAAAAGCTTGATAATTCTTCTGTTTTTTTTGTTGTTTTTGAGCTTTAGCTAACTAGGCTATTTTAGCGCCACTAAACAGGAGGAGCCAGATACTCAGAGTAATTTAATTTCAGACTAAAATCCTTTTAGCTTAAGCTGAGAAGCCCTGATCAATGGATTGAAGATAAATCGAGTCACCACATACTGTTACTGCTCCAAGGTTAAAGGTAAATGTGACTAAAACTAGCTTGTTGACTACCAGTTGGATTCAAAATGAATCACAAACCAGATAAATCTGTGATCAAAGGTTGCTTAACTTAAAAGAAGCATCACTTTATTATATTTTTACTCAAGTAAAAGTAAGAAGCACATTTTAAAGAAATGACTTGAGAGTAAAAAAGTATTTAGTTAGAAGGTGACTCAGGTACTGATCTACTTACCGCTCATGATCATAACAGATTTAATAAAATTATTTAAAACTGAAACAAATATTAAGTGATATAAAAGTTCTGGCATTTCAGAGAATAAGATAAAAATTATTATATATAACATTAATCACACAATAAAACATTTTGTTGTGATGAACACTTTTTAAAATACATTTGAGTTCTAAAACTTAAAAAGAATAGTTGCAGTATTTAGATGAATCTCCAAACCACACAGCAACTCAGCAGATAGTTTTGGACTGTGGGAGGAAGCTGGAGTACCCGGAGAGAACCCACGCATGCTCAGGGAGAACATGCACGCTCCATGCAGAAAGACCCCGGGCCGGGAATCGAACCCAGAACCTTCTTGCTGCGACTGAGCAGTACTCGGTTGCAGAAAAGTGAAACTTTATTATATTTTTATTCAAGTAAAAGTACAACGCTGTAAAACTGCTCCTAAAAGTAATTTCTTTCCAAAAAGTTTCTCAAATAAATGTAACCGAATAAATGTAAATACTTACTACATATATCTATCTGTAAGTACTCTATGGAGGGAATTTTGTTCCATTATTGATCCAAATAATAAATGTAAATAAAAAATGAATTGGATCCAGAAATGAACTGAAAAATGTCTTAAATAAATGTTTTTTTTTTCATATTCTATTTTTCTTATATATTGCAAGATTTTTTGTCCTTTTTATTGTAAATTAAAATTTTTCAAATTTTATTCTTTATAAACTGCAAACATGTACTCTTCACCTCTGGGGGGGCGGAGCAACGACGGCTTTTTACTGGTCTGATTGACGTTAGTAACACGTTGGGCTAACGCATTGGGCTTGAAGAAAAACTGATCTGTAAAATGATATTAAAAAAAAATGCAATTCGTATAACTCGGTCTAAAAAAGTTGAAAAAAAATAATAAAATATAAAATCAAAGAAAACCCAAGAGTTACTCTACAATTTTTTTTAATTAAATTTTTATTTTGATAGCTTTCAGAGTTGCATTTTTAAACAATATTTTATTTCAAGATTCTCTTTACAAAATATTTTTTTTGCTTTGAACAATAATGGAACAAAGTTCACTCCATACCTGCAGATTATCTTTGAAGCTCTCTGTTAAAAATAATTATTGTAAAACCTTTTAAGTTGATAAAAATGCATATGCTAAGATACATTTGTAAAATATATCAGCATAAATGCAAATCAAAACTCACATTTTCATGATAAACATGCAGATAAGTTATTTTTAAGAGCTTTTTAAATTGATCCTGAAGTTGGATTAAATTTGATAGAATTGGATTTCATTGCATTTTGAATAAAAACTGTTTTTTTTTTTTTTATTTCATGTCTGAAAAATGACTCAGTTGTTTAGAAAATCAAAACAAATTATCTTTATTGACAGTAAAAGCATCATCAAACCATTTGGATAATAGAAACATTTCTGAGTAGGAGGTCAAAGTTCACAATGAAAACTCAAAGCGACGTTTCCTTTGAGTCTCTGGGCGGCCTGAAGGTCAGGATCTCTGTGAAAGTATGACCTGATAATCACAGAAAGAAGATTGTTAGCATCATCGCTAGTTAGTCTGATATAAACCGAACTGAAAAGATTAGTTTAGATCATCCAGGGTTTAACTACAACAGTTTAAAGAGTCAAACTTGATGAAACGGCGCTCTGGTCTCACGTTTCCACTGCTCCAGCGGCAGGTCGGTGTTATCCAGGGTCTGATCGTACGGCAGCGCCTCCGTCTCCTCCTCCACCTCCCTGAACTCGCTGAAGAACGGCAGCTCCAGGGCCTCCGACGCGCTCGCCCTGCTCTCCGGGTCCAGGAGGAGCATCTTCTCCAGGACGCAAACCGCTGCGATGCACAGAAGACGACTAAAGCAGAAGTTCTTCGCATATAAAGCTACTCCAAGGTTTTCCTTTACCGTTTGGGCTGACTTTGGAGAAAATGGAGGACAAATCTTTCTTTGGCACTTTGGGTAAACTTCTGATGTAGTTCCTGGCCTGTTGAGCAACAAACAAAAAAGATAAAAAGTTAATCAAATCTTTAAAAAAAGAGAAATAATGCAAAGCATTGGTGGTGGCAGCATCATGCTGCGGAGCTGCTTTTCTTCAGCAGGGACAGGGAAGCTGGCTGGATATAATGAAGCGAAATACAGAACAATCTAATGATAGACGGGTTCTCAGGGTGTGAGCGGAGCTGCAGACGATAGAAACGACTCGGGACTCGGACTCGTCGCTCCTTACATCTTGACTCTGCAGCTTCAGAACAAAGTCCGCAGTCGGAGTTCCTGTGATCTTCATAATTTCTCTTAGCTGGTCCAGGTCTGTCAGGGGGAGGAGTTAAGAAGCACCTGAATTCTTTATCATCGCTTCAATTTAAAGGAAAAGTTCGCTCATATTCATAATTCAAACTTCTGAAAGTTCTTTAAATATAAAATCATTAAATAATGTTCAATAAACGATCAGTGTTTTTATTTCAGAGTAATTTTCCTCTGAATGTGCTTCACTGGAGGCGTCCATGTTTGTTTCTCTTTAACAAGGATACGGTCGTTTCCTTTGAACAGAGGTTTTCCCAGCAGCATCTCTGCCATGATGCAACCTGCCGACCAAATGTCCACTGGAACACAGAGAGGGGCGCCGCTTATGTCACTGCGTTAGAAAATGCATCGATGACATCATCAGGTGTCTTTTTTTTTTACCTGTTTGCGTGTAGTGCATCCAATTCAGGATGACCTCAGGCGCTCTGTACCAGCGCGTCACCACGTAACCCGTCATCTCCGCGTCGGCCTGCCGAGCCAGGCCAAAGTCCAGAATCTACAACAGGCGAGGGGGGGTGAACTGTTAAAATATTAAACCCATAAATAATAAATATTAAATAAAGACAGGATGATTTACCTTCAGCTCACAGTCTGGGTTTATGGCCAGATTTCCAGGTTTCAGGTCCTGATGGAGAACAAGAAATATTTTAACTTCCATCTTTAAATCGATTTATAAAATGTTTCCAGTTTTATTTACACTGTTTATATATTTAATATATAAACATGAAGTCAACCAGGCAGGATAAGAAAATTAATGTAAATAATAAACATAAATACATTTTAAAGAAGTGTTTTATCTTTTATAGTTTAAAAGGTGAAAGGTCACTCACCCTGTGGACGATCCCCGCTGAGTGGATATACTGTGGAGAAACAGGAATAAAGTTCAGGAAAAGAAGTTTTCCTTCCTGAAAAAGAACAAAGAACGATGGGAGGAGCTTCCTGTCACCTTCAGGCCTCTCAGCATCTGATAAACCAGGAACTGGATGCGATCCTCAGACAGCTTCTCCATCTTCATCAGCTTCCCCAGGTCTGTTCCCATGAAGGGCATCACCAGGTAGCTGCGAGACAAGGCGGCAGGATTACAGCTGGGAGGGAAGGAAGGAAGGAAGGAAGGAAGGAAGGAAGGAAGGA